TCGCGGCCGTATATATATGTCTTACGAGGTACTGTGTTCACGTATATATACTCAAATTCTAGCGGCTTCAAATCAAGCAGGAGAAAGCTGGTAGGCCCACATGTGAGAGAATGGGTCTGTGTGGTCAGTGTGCACCATATAAAAAAAATCCTGGAGCACGCAGTGCATAATGAGAAAAAAAACTCCGAACGTTTTTTTTTTAATTAAAATGCCGACTTTGTGGTCTATTTTCGTATAGTATTTATGGTTGTATTCTCGTTTTCTTGCTCTCATTTGATAGAATGGAAAACATCTTATAGAAATAGAGGTGATTTTGATTGATTTTACTATAAAAAGAACCTAGAAATGGAGCTCAAAGTAGGGGAAATGTTTGATTTTTGCCGATGTTCAAAAGTAAACAACTGATGCCATTGTCCAATAAATGTCCAACTAGCCATTCTAATATGCAGTCATGAATGGGTTGATGTTATTTATACAATTATTATAGTATTGCAGTAGTCTGCATAATAGTAAGTCTTCTATTTTTTGCTTGAATAAAAATTCAAAATAGAAAGCAAGAGTAATATCAGAGGGGCCTGGAGACATGACTGATGAGCAAAGAAAATGTTATTTTAGAGCCAGGAATGTCTGCATTGTTCATTCTGGACCTTATTTTGAAATTGTCATATTTTTTAGTTTTCGTGAAATTGGCCAAATTGCAAATTTCTGACCACATTAGTAGGTAGTTGAAATCGGTAAATGGGCAGTTTCTTGTACTCAATCGATAGAAAAAATGGAGTTCTAAAGAAATAGCTATGAGTTTGGGTGACTGGAACAATGGAATTAGCCGAAAATAGGGCTCAAAGTGGGCGAAATCGCCGATTTGTAAACAGCGCTGAGGTCGCTAAATTCGCGAGAGCATAATTCCGTCAGTTTTCCATCAAATTTAGTTTTTTTGGTGTCATTACAATCGGGAAAAGATTCTCTATCATTTCATAAGAAAAAATATCTTTTTTTTTTTTAATTTTGCGACACCAGGAGACACCTCAGGATTGGGGGTTGCGACAGTCAAAGGGTTAAACCTCTTCTTAACCTGAAAAACTCTAAAACCAGACGGCTCCGTGCAGTGAATCATGGGTAACACTACACTGCATAACTAGCATTGGTAAACAATAAAGCCAGGACCTTGATGTTCCACCACCAGCTTCCCTACCAGCAATTAGGGTGTGGAATTGACAGGAAGATGCCATATTCATTTCAAATTTATTACAATTTCAAGATTTCAAGCAGTAGGTGGGAGCGTGGGAAGTAGTGGGTGGGAGTGTGGGATATAGCAAGTGGAAGCATGGGAGCTAGTGGGATGGGTGAAGGTGGTTGAGGGGATGGGTAAAGGTGGGTGAAGGGATGGGTAAAGGTGGCTGAAGGGATGGGTAAAGGTGGGTAAGAGCTAAAATGTATGGACAGAGGGGTGTGAAAAATAGGTGTTGGCATTAGGCATGGTGGCCCATGGCCACACACCATTGCTGCACACCCAGAAACCTCACCCATACCATTCACAACCCCCACCCATACCACCCACCCTTATAATTCTTCCCCCAGTCACACACCTTCACCCATATCATCCCAACCACCAACCTACCCCCACACAACCCACCCATACAATTCCCCCACAGCACTCCTACACAAACACCATTTCTCCACTTCCTGAAGACCACACCTTGCCCAGCCTCACGACCTAACACCCACATCTTACCCAGCCCCACGACCTCACACCCACACCTTACCTAGCCCCACGACCTCACACCCACACCTTACCCAGTCCCACAACCTCACACTCACACCTTATCCAACCCCATGACCTCACACCCACACCTTACCCAGTCTTTAACCCTGACACACTGCCCTCATACAAAATCACTTAAGTCACCCACCACTCTCATTACTGCCTACACCACCAACTACACACTCGCCAATCATCCAATCACCACCCACCCAGTCACCCATCATCCAGTCACCATCCACCCACTCATCATCCAATCACCACCCACAACGTGCCTTTAAGCCAAGCCATTATCTAGTCCAAGGCCCTAATTCTCTTCCAATCTATGAAGGCTGAGAGAAGTGTGGAAGCTTCTGAGATAAATTTGAAGCTGACAGAGGTTGGTTTCATCTCTTCCTGATGTCCTACAATACTTAACTCTCACCCTACATTAAGGCCAAAAATATTTTACAGTAAGTAATGAGCATACTGTATATGCATTTTACTTTCAGACCTAGTTCCATTGCTAACTTAATATATGCCTAGTTCCATTGCTAACTTAATATATGCCTAGTTCCATTGCTAACTTAATATATGATAGTGTAAATGTTATCAGGCATTTATATGTATTTAAGTGAAAATAAAAAAAGGAGGGTGATTTGCTTTATGGCAGTAGCCTGGAACCTAACCTGCCATATAAGTGGGACCCTCCAGTATATTTATTGTAGAAAGGATGTAGGAGATGGCACATTTTTATCATCTGACTCGTCAACGTATCTTATTTGTTTCGAAGAAACAAATAAGATTCGAGGAAGTGGGCTATATACTGGAACATGACCTATTTTCACATTCGTCAAATGTGATACCACCTACGACTACTGCACCTCTCCTGCCTACAGTATATAAGCCTGTATGGACTGATGAAGCCACTGTGTGGCAAAACGTTTCCTCATTAAAGATACCCAAATGTTGAAAATGTGTCTAATTTATCAACTTGCTGGTTCTCTGAACAATTCATCTACAAAAGTTTTTCTATGTCAACAATAAGTTTATCAGGTTTTCTTATAAATTTAGTGGTCACTGGTGTAGCAAATATAATTTTCAACACTTTCTCCTTGGAGTTCACAATGGTACTAACTGTTTGGCAAGCCAAACCAAGCTTACCTTCTATCTCAGCCATAGACATGCTTTGCTCATGGAGTTTAATCATTTCTAATTTGGCATTTAAAGTAAAAGGCTTACGACTCCTATTTTTATAACAGCTACCATTAGATGCCATTTTAATTAACATAAAAAATATATAATATATGTAATAACTTTGAAAAGTTATTACGTATATTATAGTAGTAGGTTGGTAGACAGCAACCACCCAGGGACGTACTACCGTCCTGCCAAGCGAGTGTAAAACAAAAGCCTGTAATTGTTTTACATGATGGTAGGATTGCTGGTGTCTTTTGTCTGTCTCATAAATATGCAAGATTACAGGCATGTCTTTCTACTTCTACTTACACTTAGGTCACACTACACATACATGTACACGTTTATTTATACACACGTATCTGAGTTTTCTTTGATTTTATCTTAATAATTCTTGGTCTTATTACTTTTCCTTTTATATCCATGGGGAAGTGGAATAAGAATCTTTCCTCCGTAAGCCATGCGTGTTGTAAAAGTCAACTAAAATGCCGGGAACAATGGGCTAGTAACCCCTTTTCTTGTAAAGATTACTAAAAAGAATAAGAAGAAAACTGTCAAAGTGGGAAGTCTGAATGTGCGTGGATGTTGTGCAAATGATAAGAAAGAGATGATTGTGGATGTTATGAATGAGAAGAAACTGGATGTCCTGGCTTTAAGTGAAACAAAGCTGAAGGGGGTGAGAGTTTCAAGGAAGAGGAATAAATGGGATTAGGTCAGGGGTTTCAAATAGAGTTAGAGCTAAAGAAGGAGTAGCAATAATGTTGAAGGATAAGTTATGGCAGGAAAAGAGGGACTACAAATGAATAAATTCAAGGATTATGTGGAGTAAAATAAAGATTGGATGTGAAAAGTGGGTTAGTAAGTGTGTATGCACCTGGAGAAGAGAGAAGTGTAGAGGAGAGAGAGATTCTGGGAAATGTTGAGTGAATGCGTTGGGGAGTTTTGAATCAAGTGTGAGAGTAATGGTGGTTGGGGATTTCAATGCTAAAGTGGGTACAAATGTTATGGAGGGAGTTTAAGGTAAATTTGGGGTGCCAGGGGTAAATGTAAATGGGGAGCCTTTAATTGAGCTATGTGTAGAAAGAAATTTGGTAATACGTAATACATATTTTATGAAAAAGAGGATAAATAAATATACAAGGTATGATGTAGCACGTAATGAAAGTAGTTTGTTAGATTATGTATTGGTGGATAAAAGGTTGATGGGTTGGCTCCAGGATGTACATGTTTATAGAGGGGAAACTGATATATCGGATCATTATTTAGTTGTACCTACAGTTAGAGTAAGAGGTAGATGGGAAAAGAGGAAGGTGGCAACAACAAGTAAGAGGGAGGTGAAAGTGTATAAACTAAGGGAGGAGGAAGTTCGGGCGAGATATAAGCGACTATTGGCAGAAAGGTGGGCTAGTGCAAAGATGAGTAGTGGGGGGATTGAAGAGGGTTGGAATAGTTTTAAAAATGCAGTATTAGAATGTGAGGCAGAAGTTTGTGGTTACAGGAGGGTGGGAGCAGGAGGGAAGAGGAGTGATTGGTGGAATGATGAAGTAAAGGGTGTGATAAAAGAGAAAAAGGTAGCTTATGAGAGGTTTTTACAAAGCAGAAGTGTTATAAGAAGAGCAGAATATATGGAGAGTAAAAGAAAAGTGAAGAGAGTGGTGAGAGAGTGCAAAAGGAGAGCAGATGATAGAGTGGGAGAGGCACTGTCAAGAAATTTTAATGAAAAAAAAGAAAAAAATTTGGAGTTAAACAAGTTAAGAAAGCCTAGGGAACGTATGGATTTGTCAGTTAAAAACAGAGTAGGGGAGTTAGTAGATGGGGAGAGGGAGGTATTAGGTAGATGGCAAGAATATTTTGAGGAACTTTTAAATGTTGAGGAAGAAAGGGAGGCGGTAATTTCGTGCACTGGCCAGGGAGGTATACCATCTTTCAGGAGTGAAGAAGAGCAGAATGTAAGTGTGGTGGAGGTACGTGAGGCATTACGTAGAATGAAAGGGGGTAAAGCAGCTGGAACTGATGGGATGACAGAAACGTTAAAATCAGGGGGGGATATAGTGTTGGAGTGGTTGGTACTTTTGTTTAACCCTTTGAGGGTCGACAGGCCCTCTCCGAAACTCGTTCTCAGGGTCGGCCAAATTTAAAAAAAAAAAAAAATTATTTTCTCTTATGAAAAGATAGAGAATCTTTTCCCGATCATAACGACACCAAAAGTTTGAAATTTGATAGAAAACTTATGGAATTATGCTCTCGCAAAGTTAGCGGTCTCGGCGATGTTTACGGATCGGCGATTTTGCCCACTTTGAGCCCCATTTTCGGCCAATTTCACTGTACTAGTCGACAAAAAACATGAATATTTCGCTAGAACTCCATTTTTTCTATCGAATGGGTGCAAGAAACCACCCATTTATAAATTCAACTATCCAGTACAGTGGTCAGAATTTAGCAATTTTGCCAATTTCACACAAATTTCAAAAGCTGCCAATTTCGGAATAGGGTCCAGAATAAACAAGAAAGACATTCCTGGCACTAAAATGACATTTCCTCTAGTCATTAGTCACGTCTCAAGGCCCCTCTTATATTCTTTTGCTTTCCACTTTGAATTTTTATTCTCACAAAAAATATAAGATTTACTGTTATGCAGACTACTGCATTAGTGTAAAAAATGGTATAAATATTATTGGTGCACTTGTGAAAGAATATTAGACTCACCAGTGACGTGTATTGCACGCTTGGCACGATTTGTTTACTTTTGAAGTTTGGTAAAAATCGACAATTTCTGCTACTTTGAGCTCAATTTCAAGGCACCTTTCATTGTTAAAACCAGTCAAAATCATCTCAATTTCAGTAATATGTCTTCCATTCTATAAAATGAGACCAAGAAAACTAGAATACAACAATAAATACTATACGAAAATACACTGCAAAGTCGCTGATTTATTAAAAAAAAATGGAAAAAGTTTTTTTTTTCTCATTATGCACCGTGTGCTGCAGGATTTTTTTTAGACTGTGCACACTGACCACATAGACCCATTCTTTCATATGAAGGCCTACCAGCTTTCTCCCACTAGATTTGAGGTCGCTAGAATTTATGAGTACTAGTACGTCAAAAACCCCTACGCGTAAGACGTACTAGTACGACGAAAACCCTCAAAGGGTTAATAAATGTATGAAAGAGGGGAAGGTACCTAGGGATTGACAGAGAGCATGTATAGTCCCTTTATATAAAGGGAAAGGGGACAAAAGAGATTGTAAAAATTATAGAGGAATAAGTTTACTGAGTATACCAGGAAAAGTATATGGTAGGGCTATAATTGAAAAAAATAAGAGGTAAGACAGAATGTAGGATTGCGGATGAGCAGGGAGGCTTCAGAGTGGGTAGGGGATGTGTAGATCAAGTGTTTACATTTAAACATATATGTGAACAGTATTTAGATAAAGGTAGGGAAGTTTTTATTGCATTTATGGATTTAGAAAAGGCATATGATAGAGTGGATAGAGGAGCAATGTAGCAGATGTTGCAAGTATATGGAATAGGTGGTAAGTTACTAAATGCTGTAAAGAGCTTTTATGAGGATAGTGAGGCTCAGGTTAAGGTGTGTAGAAGAGAGGGAGAATACTTCCCGGTAAAAGTAGGTCTTAGACAGGGATGTGTAATGTCACCATGGTTGTTTAATATATTTATAGATGGGGTTGTAAAATAAGTAAATGCAAGGGTGTTCGGGAGAGGGGTGGGATTAAATTATGGGGAATCAAATTCAAAATGGGAATTGACACAGTTACTTTTTGCTGATGATACTGTGCTTATGGGAGATTCTAAAGAAAAATTGCAAAGGTTAGTGGATGAGTTTGAGAATGTGTGTAAAGGTAGAAAGTTGAAAGTGAACATAGAAAAGAGTAAAGTGATGAGGGTATCAAATGATTTAGATAAAGAAAAATTGGATATCAAATTGGAGAGGAGGAGTATGGAAGAAGTGAATGTTTTCAGATACTTGGGAGTTGACGTGTCGGCGGATGGATTTATGAAGGATGAGGTTAATCATAGAATTGATGAGGGAAAAAAGGTGAGTGGTTCGTTGAGGTGTATGTGGAGTTAAAAAACGTTATCTATGGAGGCAAAGAAGGGAATGTATGAAAGTATAGTAGTACCATCACTCTTATATGGATGTGAAGCTTGGGTGGTAAATGCAGCAGCGAGGAGACGGTTGGAGGCAGTGGAGATGTCCTGTCTAAGGGCAATGTGTGGTGTAAATATTATGCAGAAAATTCGGAGTGTGGAAATTAGGAGAAGGTGTGGAGTTAATCAAAGTATTAGTCAGAGGGCAGAAGAGGGGTTGTTGAGGTGGTTTGGTCATTTAGAGAGAATGGATCGAAGTAGAATGGCATGGAAAGCATATAAATCTATAGGGGAAGGAAGGAGGGGTAGGGGTCGTCCTTGAAAGGGTTGGAAAGAGGGGGTAAAGGAGGTTTTGTGGGCGAGGGGCTTGGACTTCCAGCAAGCGTGCATGAGCGTGTTAGATAGGAGTGAATGGAGACGAATGATACTTGGGACCTGACGATCTGTTGGAGTGTGAGCAGGGTAATATTTAGTGAAGGGATTCTGGGAAACCGGTTATTTTCATATAGTCGGACTTGAGTCCTGGAAATGGGAAGTACAATGCCTGCACTTTAAAGGAGGGGTTTTGGGATATTGGCAGTTTGGAGGGATATGTTGTGTATCTTTATACATATATGCTTCTAAACTGTTGTATTCTGAGCACCTCTGCAAAAGCAGTGATAATGTGTGAGTGTGGTGAAAGTGTTGAATGATGATGAAAGTATTTTCTTTTTTGGGTCACCCTGCCTCAGTGGGAGACTGCCGACTTGTTGAAAAAAAAAAAAAAAAAAAAAAAAAAAAAAAAAAAAAAAAACTGAAAAGTTTGAAACTTTGGGAAATCGCCAGAATACACACAGATGCAGAGTGCACAAATGCTGACAATAAAATGGAGCCGAATGCCCTTCCCTGACTCAGCTGTTGAGTGAGTCAGGCTGAAAAATGTAGGAAAAGCAGAACAAGCACTTAACATAATGGACAATGGATATAACTGAAAACTGTTGAATCAGCGGAACACTGTAAAGTGGGACCCTACAATAGCAGTACAGTGGAACCTCAAATATCGAACTTTCTTCAGTCAAGAAGGCTGTTCGAGTGCCTTTACCGAATGAATTTATTCCCATCAGGAATAATGTAAATTAGATTAGTCCATTTCAGACCTTCAAAAATACACTTATAAAAGCACTTACAAAAATACACTTACATAATTGGCTGTGTTGGGAGCAGTTTGATTTTTGAGGTTCCACTGTACAAGTAGAGAAGATGAAAAAAAAATTAAGAAAAAGTTAAAAGGAAAACAAGTACACTGTACCTTTCTTGTTGGTCCTCGTCCAACTGGAGGCTCACCAGTTGCAGCTTGCTTGATACAGCACACTATTATCTCAATGAGGCTAGTCTCTTGCCGATCATCAAGTGGTTCCTCCAATGGGCCTGGTTCTTCTAACAATAGGTCTGTCATACACTCCCAGTCTTTCATCATCTCATTACTCTCAATTAGAGAATCCACCAAATATGCTCCATGTTCATGTAGCTAAAAAATTATGAGTTATCACTGTTACAGGATACTTGCATATAAGAGCAATATAACATATACAATACTAAGAATTATATTAGGCATTTACTTCTCATATTAGTGAAAAATTTCACATGCTTTATACAAACTGCATGTGCACATTTGCAAACATGTAATTACTTATTTGTAACTGCTCATGTGTGCTTAGAGACTGTACCATAAAATGATAAACTGACTGATAACTAGAAGAAATGATGAGGAAAACAATAAAAGAAATCCTCTCCCATACCTCTGACTCAATGAAGAACTGCACAAGATCTCGAATAAGAAGAGTATTTGGCCGGCGCTTCTTGCCACGCTTTGTCCTTAAGGAAGCCACAGCATCGTCATCAGGAATGAAAAGACGTTCGTTGAGAAAATCTCCTGCTGCTTGTGCCACAGCACGATGGGATGAGTACACCAATTCATAGACATGCTCAGAGTCTTTGTCTGTTAACATATCTCTGTGATGTTTCAGAATGGAGATGACTAATTTCACTGCTTGAACACTCACATCATACTCCTTATCAAGTGTCATAGCTACGATGCGATCTTTAAACTTACTAGTGAACAGTTCCAATTTACCCTGGAGTTCTTCACTAGCATATAAGGGCTGCAGTGCTTGCAAGCACTTCAAACGTACATCACCAACTTTATCATGAAGTGTCCAGCCAATGTACTTAAGGTAAGAATCATCCAAAAAATTCTGGTGAAACTTTTTCATCCACAGTCCAATTTCAGCCATGCAAATGGAGCGGATCTCAGGCAGAGTATCCCTGATTAAAAGAAAAAACATGAAATTAATAAGATCATAAATCAAACTGACTATTACTGTACATATATACACTACTATACATCCTCTCCTCACTTAACGACAGAGTTCTGTGCCTAAGAGTAGGTCGGTAAGCAAATTGATCATTAAGCAAGGAGCATACTATACTGGTAGTGGGTTTGTGTCAACCATCTTTAGATATTTTTTTAATGTCACTTTTGCACCATTTATAACATTTCTGGTATATTTTTATATGTTTATACAGTAGCTTACTGTATACTGTAATAAACAGAATAAAGGAAATCAGCTCTAATATACATTATTAAGGTTTGCAAACTGGTTGGAGAGCTGGTCATAAGTCTGAGTGGTCAGCAAACGAGTACATCGCTAAGTGAGGAGAGGCTGTAATTGTAAAACTAAACTTTTCAACGTATTTACTTTCAATACTACAAATTAACATAAATATTTCTTTTGACCTTACATTTTACTGCTTGAAAGAGAAATATCAAGATAACAAACAAACCTGTATCTGTGAACAAAAACGGATTTAAACATGTATGTTAACATGTTCTTAATTTCATCCATATTTTCTTCCAGCTCTTGTCTCTTTGACATTAAAGATTCCAAACGATCCGATGCACGCTTCTCACGAGACTAAAAAGATATTGTAAAGCATATTAATATAAATAAAAAACTTCCAACACCATTCTTAATTAACTTGTACTGAGCAAGCAAACACAGAAGGCTTTTATAATTTACACATTTTATTTGATTATTATAGTTAGTTTTCTTCTTCCCTTTTTTAGTAAATGTCTACAGGAGAAGGGGTTACTAGCCCATTGCTAAGTAGTAGGTTGGTAGACAGCAACCGCCCAGGGAGGTACTACCATCCTGCCAAGTGAGTGTAAAACGAAAGCCTGTAATTGTTTTACATGATGGTAGGATTGCTGGTGTCCCTTTTTCTGTCTCATAAACATGCAAGATTTTAGGTACATCTTGCTACTTCTACTTACACTTAGGTTGCACTACACATACATGTACAAGCATATATATACACACCCCTTTGAGTTTTCTTCTATTTTCTTTCTAGTTCTTGTTCTTGTTTATTTCCTCTTACCTCCATGGGGAAGTGGAACAGAATTCTTCCTCCGTAAGCCATGCGTGTTGTAAGAGGCGACTAAAATGCCAGGAGCAAGGGGCTAGTAACCCCTTCTCCTGTATACATTACTAAATTTAAAAGGAGAAACTTCAGTTTTTTCTTTTGGGCCACCCCACCTCAGTGGGATACGGCTGGTACGTTGAAAGAAGAAGAAAAGGAGAAACTTTCGTTTTTCCTTTTGGACCACCCCACCTCGGTGGGATACGGCCGGTGTGTTGAAAGAAAGAAAGTTAGTTTTCAATAATCAGACCCTACAAAAGTAAGTAGGTAAACAGAAACCATCAAGGGAGGTACACAGTATTTCCGTACAGCCAAAAGAGGATAAAGTGGAATCATGTTGAAAACCATGCATTCTGGCAGGATTGTTGTTTTATCTGTCTCAAGAATATAAAAGATGGCAGGGAAATTTTTTATAAATTTTTACTTATTTTTTTTTTTTAACAAGTCGGCCGTCTCCCACTGAAGCAGTGACCCAAAAAGAAAGAAAATCCCCAAAAAGAAAAATACTTCCATCATCATTCAACACTTTCACCTCACTCACACATAATCACTGTTTTTGCAGAGGTGCTCAGAACACAATAGTTTAGAAGCATATACGTATAAAGATACACAACATATCCCACCAAACTGCCAATATCCCGAACCCCTCCTTTAGAGTGCAGGCATTGTACTTCCCATTTCCAGGACTCAAGTCCGGCTATATAAAAATAACCGGTTTCCCTGAATCACCTCACTAAATATTACCCTGCTCACACTCCAACAGATTGTCAGGTCCCAAATACCATTCGTCTCCATTCACTCCTATCGAACACGCTCACGCACGCCTGCTGGAAGTCCAAGCCCCTCGCCCACAAAATCTCCCTTACCCCTTCCTTCCAAATTATAATCATTACAAATATATTGGGACTTTTCTATACATTTCACAATACTAGTGCTTACAACTACATAATTTCCATTCTATTTTAAGACACTTGGTCTGAGATCTAAAAAAAGGAAGCATTTAAATTTGAAAAGCTCTCTTAACTATTACATCACTCAATGTGCATGGCAATAAAAAACTAAGCTGACATACAAATACCCTAGGTAAGGGAAAGTATGGATTTGTCAGTTAAAAACAGAGTAGGGGAGTTAGTAGATGGGGAGATAGAGGTATTAGGTAGATGGCGAGAATATTTTGAGGAACTTTTAAATGTTGAGGAAGAAAGGGAGGTGGTAATTTCATGCACTGGTCAGGGAGGTATACCATCTTTTAGGAGTGATAAGAGCAGAATGTAAGTGTGGGGGAGGTACGCGAGGCATTACGTAGAATGAAAGGGGGTAAAGCAGCTGGAACTGATGGGATCATGACAGAAATGTTAAAAGCAGGGGGGGATTTAGTGTTGGAGGGTTGGTTTACTTTTGTTTAATAAATGTATGAAAGAGGGGGAAGGTACCTAGGGACTGGGGGAAAGAGCATGTATAGTCCCTTTATATAAAGGGAAAGGGGACAAAAGAGATTGTAAAAATTATAGAGGAATAAGTTTACCGAGTATACCAGGAAAAGTGTACAGAAGGGTTATAATTGAAAGAATTAGAGGTAAGACAGAATGTAGGATTGCGGATGAGCAGGGAGGCTTCAGAGTGGGTAGGGGATGTGTAGATCAAGTGTTTACATTGAAGCATATATGTGAACAGATAAAGGTAGGGAAGTTTTTATTGCATTTATGGATTTAGAAAAGGCATATGATAGAGTAGTAGGTTGGTAGACAGCAACCACCCAGGGACGTACTACCGTCCTGCCAAGTGAGTGTAAAACGAAAGCCTGTAATTGTTTTACATGATGGTAGGATTGCTGGTGTCTTCTGTCTGTCTCATAAATATGCAAGATTACAGGCATGTCTCGCTACTTCTACTTACACTTAGGTCACACTACACATACATGTACACGTTTATTTATACACACTCATCTGAGTTTTCTTTGATTTTATCTTAATAGTTCTTGGTCTTATTACTTTTCCTTTTATATCCATGTGGAAGTGGAATAAGAATCTTTCCTCCGTAAGCCATGCGTGTTGTAAAAGTCAACTACAATGCCGGGAACAATGGGCTAGTAACCCCTTTTCTTGTAAAGATTACTAAAAAGAATAGGAAGAAGAAAATTGTCAAAGTGGGAAGTCCGAATGTGCGTTGGATGTTGGCAAATGATAAGAAAGAGATGTTTGTGGAATGTTATGAATGAGAAAAACTGGATGTCCTGGCTTTAAGTGAAACAAAGCTGAAGGGGTGGGAGAGTTTCAATGGAGAGGAATAAATGGGATTAGGTCAGGGGTTTCAAATGAGTTAGAGCTAAAGAAGGAGTAGCAATATGTTGAAGGATAAGTTATGGCAGGAAAAGAGGGACTACAAATGTATAAATTCAAGGATTATGTGGGATAAAATAAAGATTTGGATGTGAAAAGGTGGGTTATAGTAAGCGTGTATGCCCCTGGAAAAGGGAGAGAAGTGTAGAGGAGAGAGAGAGATTCTGGGAAATGTTGAGTGAATTGCGTGGGGAGTTTTGAATCAAGTGTGAGAGTAATGGTGGTTGGGGATTTCAATGCTAAAGTGGGTAAAAATGATATGGAGGGAGTAGTAGGTAAATTTGGGGTGCCAGGGATAAATGTAAATGGTGGAAGCCTTTAATTGAGCTATGTTTTAGAAAGAAATTTTTGGTAATAAGTAATACATAAATTTTATGAAAAAGAGGATAAATAAATATACAAGGTATGATGTAGCACGTAATGAGAGTAGTTTGTTAGATTATGTATTGGTGGATAAAAGGTTGATGGGTAGGCTCCAGGATGTACATGTTTATAGAGGGGCAACTGATATATCGGATCATTATTTAGTTGTAGCTACAGTTAGAGTAGGAGGTAGATGGGAAAAGAGGAAGGTGGCAACAACAAGTAAGAGGGAGGTGAAAGTGTATAAACTAAGGGAGGAGGAAGTTCGGGCGAGATATAAGCGACTATTGGCAGAAAGGTGGGCTTTGTGCAAAGATGAGTAGTGGGGGGTTGAAGAGGGTTGGAATAGTTTTAAAAATGCAAATATTAGAATGTGGGGCAGAAGTTTGTGGTTATAGGAGGGTGGGGGCAGGAGGAAAGAGGAGTGATTGGTGGAATGATGAAGTAAAGGGTGTGATAAAGGAAAAAGGTAGCTTACGAGAGGTTTTTACAACCAGAATGTTATAAGAAGGCAGAGTATAAGGAGAGTAAAAGAAAGGTGAAGAGAGTGGTTTGGGGAGTGCACAAGGAGAGCAGATGAAAGGTGGGAGAGGCACTCTCAAGAATTTTTTAATGAAATAAGAAAAAATTTTGGAGTGAGTTAAACAAGTTAAGAAGCCTAGGGAAAGTTGGATTTGTCAGTTAAAAACAGAGTAGGGGGGTTAGTAGATGGGGAGAGGGAGGTATTTAGGTAAATGGCGGAATATTTTGAGGAACTTTTAATGTTGAGGAAGAAAGGGAGGCGGTAATTTCGTTGCACTGGCCAGGGGGGGTATAACCCTCTTTTAGGAGTGAAGGAGTGGAAGAATGTAAGTGTGGTGGAGGTACGTGAGGCCCTTACGTAGAATGAAAGGGGGTAAAGCAGCTGGAACGAGGGATCATGACAGAAATGTTAAAAAGCAGGGGGGGATAGTGTTGGAGTGGTTGGTACTTTTGTTTAATAAATGTATGAAAGAGGGGAAGGTACCTAGGGATTGGCGGAGAGCATGTATAGTCCCTTTATATAAAGGGAAGGGGGACAAAAGAGATTGTAAAAATTAAGAGGAATGTTTTACTGAGTATACCCGGAAAAGTACATGGTAGGGTTATAAATTTAAAGAATTAGAGGTAAGACAGAATGTAGGATTGCGGATGAAACAGGGAGGCTTCAGAGTGGGTAGGGGATGTGTAGATCAAGTGTTTACATTGAAGCATATATGTGAACAGTATTTAGATAAAGGTGGGAAGTTTTTATTGCATTTATGGATTTAGGAAAAGGCATATGATGAGTGGATAGAGGAGCAATGTGGCAGATGTTGCAAGTATATGGAATAGGTGGTAAGTTTCTAAATGCTGGGAAAAAGCTTTTATGGGATAGTGAGCTCAGGTTAGGGTTGTGTACAAGAGAGGAGGGAAACTTCCCAGGAAAGTAGGTCTTAGACAGGGATGTGTAATGTCACCATGGTTGTTTAATATATTTATAGATGGGGTTTTTAAAAGAAGTAAATGCTAGGGTGTTCGGGAGAAGGGTTTGGATTAAAATTATGGGGAATCAAATTCAAAATGGGAATTGACACAGTTACTTTTTGCTGATGATACTGTGCTTATGGGAGATTCTAAAGAAAAATTGCGAAGGTTAGTGGATGAAATTTGAGAATGTGTGTAAAGGTAGAAAGTTGAAAGTGAACATAGAAAAGAGTAAGGTGAAAGAGGGTATCAAATGATTTAGATAAAGAAAAATTGGATATCAAATTGGGGAGGAGGAGTATGGAAGA